TTATGAATTGTCTACACTTGACTAAACTTACTTTTTCTCTTCATTTTACTTAAGAAAACAAGACACAATAATTTGATAATTCTTTCTTGAGTTAAGTTCAACAGTACTGTCAATTGGCGGCAAGCAGCTTGTTCAATTGTTTTAAATTTGGAGGTTTTTAACTTTTCAGCTCATTGCTGAAATTTTCTTTTTCTTTAAATTGAAACGTAGACATTAACACGCACTATATGTTTCACATCACTTACATTGCTCAACAGAGGACTTCTTTTACCACTATCAATTAGATCATGACCATTATTTAAAGGATTGATCTTCTTTCGGAGAGACTGATTCCGAGGTGGTGGAATAGGTGAACAAAAATCTGTAAAACAGTGAAGTTGTGTATGTGCTTCATTTTGCTAAACTGGCTTTCGAGTATATAACTGTTGTGTTTTTCTTGTAAAAAGTTTTAGGAACTTTTTTGTTCTTTTACTTGCAGAATGAGGTGGAGGAGATGGAGGAGTTTGAGGAAACGTTGGAATGTCATCAGATGTGCAAATCTAGAAGAAGTCAAATGATATCTCATTTTAAAAAAGTTTCGACTTGTCAGCAACCAATGCTTTTCATCCTGCTATAAACACTATCCCCAAAAGCACTGCAATATTCACGACGTTACACATTGTGAAATAAACAACATTGAGAACTTACACTAAAATAATTTGTGTTTTCACAAGAAAATGCATGCATATCAACTTACATAGTTTGCATAAAATGTGAAACGGGTAAATAATGTAAAGGGAGACTCAGAGAGTGATGGCAGCTTCCCAAAAAGTTTTGATAAATAGAATAATAAAGTCGTCAAACAGAGCATAAGAAGCATAAATTTTTTTGTAAAATAAGGTAAATACGTTTATCAGCAATTGTCAGAAAGCTTATTCCGGGAGAGATGAAATGTATGTTTCATCGCTGCTTGCTCTCTGCCCTGAAGATGGCAAAGTCGTTTTCTAATTTTGGTCATGAAAAATTAGAAGAAGAAGAAATTCAAACCTTTACAAATTTAACTAGCTACCTCTTGTCTAAACTATACGAATCTTAATTTAACTTGGAGCAACAATTTTGTAAGTTTTTTCCTGATATATGAGTTACTGAGGGTAAAGTGCAGTAGTGAGATCGTCACTCTCATTCTCTGCACGGTATTTATACGAAAATATTTACTTGGGTACGCCGTATGCGTCTGCAATACATTTAAAAACAGGTTAATGTCAAAACACTGGACTCAGATACAGAAGGCAGCTTTCAAAAACGTTTTGATAAATTGGGGGAAAACGTATTCGTTAAACAAAATGTGAGAAGCATGAAGTTGTTTAAATAAAATAAGGGAAATATGTTTACTAGTAATCATCACAGAGCTTATTTCCATGAAATAAATGTTTACTGCTGAAAGAAAAACTTACTACTTGCATTCTTACTTTACGCGGAGTTTTCTTCAAGAAAGTCCTGACATTATCATCGGTACTTAAACAGAGCTCACTGCTTGCCTTTTGCACTGGAGGCTGCACTTTGGTCTTTATTCTTCGTGATAGAAGACGAAGTAAAAAAGATATGTTGGCAACAAACAAAGAGAAAAGCATTAATGCTCATTGTCATTTAAATGGGCCGATTCATTTCTTAAATTTGTGAGTGACAGAAGCTCTTTCTTTAATAAAGATTTTTCCCTCCCTCTTTTATTGTAATTAAATGTACTTATTTTTTCAAAAGATGAATCAAGGAAAAAGGCAAAATAACCTCAGACAATATTTGTAATGGGATCTTAATTATAAGTTATGAGGAATCTTGAAGGAAAAATGGAAACAATTTTTTAGCATTCGTGCCTTTATTCATTTGATATGGAAGAGAGCGATAAGAATTTGATGTTTTGTCTTGGTAACTCTTATAATTTTTAACGTGTAAGATTACCAACTGATAAACTCGAGAAAGTCTCTCATGTTGATCAAAGTCATATATAATACACAAATTCGACATGCCTTAAGAACATTAAATAATTTTTTTGTTTTGTTTGCATGCAAATACAGTTAAATGAACACATTCAATGATAGAGGTTAAAACAGTATATGTTATATGTTGTAAACATTCATTAATGAAGAATGATTATCTGGAAAAGTTTTGACAAAGATTTTCTTTGAAAGTAAATCCTAAATGGTCGCCGAATAATGATAATAATACAGATGTTACTTCACTGGTTCAGCAATAGCTTTAAAAAATGGAGGCCGTGCATGTATAAGTTGACAACCAATTAAAATATAGCACACCTGTTTTTCCTCATTACCACCTGAGCCGAGATTTGATGTTAATCGATAGGAGGAATTGATTGATTGGATGATGTTCTCCACCAGGAAAATGTCAGAACTGAAAATATATTGAAAAATCTACAGTTAACTATTTTGTTGTATATCATTGACGTAAAAAATCCTAAAGTAGAAGTAACCAAAGAAAGTATCGAATAATCGTTTTCTAATGAAAGTTCCATATTTTCACAACAAACTTAACACCGTAGCGTGCCCGTTTTTGGCAAACTTGCATTCAGTTTTAATGAAATAATGAAATTTTAATTGTAGTTCATCGACTGCCTTTTAAATAACGAAAGGTTCTGTATGACAACAAAACCGGAGGGCTTAGCTTTTCCAGGTGTCCCACTTGATATTAGAGATATCTTCTTATAAACATATTAAGTTATTGACAAAAGGCCCACATTTACTACAACTGCAGAAACGAAAGAAGAATCCAAAATGATATAAAGTGTAAGATTTGTCATAGACGCATCAGACCGTTAAACGATGATAAAATTTTGTTTTGTGTTTTGGTATTTTCAGACAGCAGGCTAGATTTTCAAACTCGATTTGATAATATGACAAAAATAATATACAGTTTAACTAACCTGGATGAATTGAAAATTTCCGTAATGAACTTTGAACTTAAAATGAACTTTCGCTTCAAATCCACTTTCTCGTGAAACCCACTTTCACTTTGTCATGGTTTTTAGAAAATGATGTTTCAATCATCTAAAAGACCTTTATCCAGTTCAATTAATATTCATGCCAACAACAATGTTGTTTTTTAAAATTGAAAAGAAAAGTGAAACAGAGAAGTTCGACGTCATATTCCGTGTTCTCTTTGTATACTGATACAGCTACTTCACAGCTGTTGACCATTCTTTCCAACGTGTGATTACGCTGTTATAAAAACGAGACAAAAACAATTAAAAAAGTTTGACAATTGTGCCCAATTTAAGTTGTCAAAAGTGAAACTCAAGACATCATTATTACTATAACAACTAAGACACCTTGACATTTAAATATAGTTGCTATCAATTTACTGAGAATACTCAAATAAAAAAGTCTTTGTTTAAAACTCGGAAATAATATAAGTAGAATCTTTAATATTATTACTTACCTAATACATTCATCAACTGCTTGACAAAGAAGCATTCATTTGCCTCAATTTCAAAATTTTTTGGTAGTTTAACTTGTCTTTATTCCAACAATTTGTTGTGCTTCAAACGTTATATGGTGATCAGCATTCATTTAATTTACGCCGATAAATGTATCTTCTTTCAAATAATGTTTTATACAAAGTGAACCAATTGAAGCGTAAAAATACCTTTGTATCGTCGAAGAATACGCAGCCTCTGGTTAAATTTACTTCAGATAAGTTTAACATGCTCCGACCACATTAAGCTGGATAACAATTCTTAGATATTTCGAAGTTTTCACAAGGTAAATATTCTTGTAATAAATATCCCATTTTATATTTGATTCTTGAAGGCGGAGAACGAATCTATAGGGTAGGTCAAAAAACATTTCAAGCGACTCATCGTACATCAATAACACAATTAAGCGCGGGCCACACTATCGTCGAAATGCAACGAATTTCGTGACGAGTCGCTCGTCAACGATTCGTCGTGACGAGTACATGTGCCACATTGTAACGATTTTCCGTACAAGCATGGACGATTATCAGCGCAAAAAGAAACTTCTATTATTGAAGAGAAAAATTCTACTGCTTCTAATTTCTGCAAAACGACGTACATACAAAAGAAGGTTCTGGGTACATCCCATAAATAGAAGGCGAGAAGAGAAGGGCTTGTATGACACGTTGTTGCAAGAGCTTCGTCAAGATAATGAAAGACATTGCAAGTATTTACGAATGACAGTTGAACATTTTGACGAAATATTACGTTCAATTGCACCACTTTTGACAAAAAAGGACACACATTTGCGAGCAGCAATTAAACCAGGACTAAAGCTTGCCATCACATTGCACCATTTGGCTGAAGGAGCGTCTCATAACGGCATAGCTGCGCACTATCGACTGGGTCGTTCAACAGTATCAGAGATTATTTACAGCACGTGTGATGCTCTTTGGAAAAAAATGCAGCCTGAATATATGACCATGCCATGTGATCCAGAAGCATGGAAAAAGATATCTGATGGGTCAGTTTCTAATTTAGATAGCTGAGTACATATTGATTGCAATTGTGCAATAGAACATTAATATTATAGAACTATTTGCTAGTCAATAACAGCTGTATATTTCATTTATGCAATGTTTATCAGATTTGAAAAATAGAATTTCCCCCATTGTCTTGGAAGCATCGATGGAAAGCACATTTTGATCCAGAAGCCTAAGCATGGTGGATCAGAGTATTTCAACTACAAACAGCGGGAGTCCATTGTACTTATGGCTGTAGTTGATGCATCATATAAATTTATTACCATCGATGTTGGAAAATCTGGTAGCAACAGTGATGGTGGCATTTGGGAGTCATCAGGTTTTGGAAGAGCTTTGGAGAACGGTTAGTACTTGGTTTGTCTACTTAGAGCAATTTTGCTTTTTATTATATAACTTTTTACTTGTCACAGGACGTGTAAACCTACCATTTCCAGCACCTTTGTCAAGAATTGAATCAGGTGAAGCATTGCCCTACATGTTTGTAGGAGATGAGGCATTCCCATTGCGCCCATACATGATGCGTCCTTTTCCTGGCCGGTCACTGGACAATGATTCACGCCGAATATTTAATTATCGTTTGTCACGTGCTAGGAGAGTGGTAGAGAATGCATTTGGTAAGTTTTAATCATTTTGTGAATTGTTTTATGTAATATTAAACTTATTATGAATGACACATGTTTGTTTCCTTGTAGGTATCATGTCTCACAGATGGAGAATATTATTCAAACCCATCATTGCAGAACCATCAAAAGCTATTTCATTAGTTAAAGCCATCTGTGTTCTACACAACTTCCTGCGTGTTAAGAATGATCTCAACTATACTCCTCCAGGGTTTTTAGATTCTGTTAATGAAGCTGGCAACATAACAGAGGGTTTCTGGAGGACAAATGCACCTAATCAAACCTCTACCACTGGCTACAACAGTCGCAGTGCTACTCAACAAGCCAGTCAAATTAGAGAAAAACTTTGCACATATTTTATAAGTTCTGAAGGTTCTGTGGAATGGCAGTGGAAGCATATAAATCGTCGATAGTGGATATTATCTTTTGTAGGATTTTGTTTTAATACATATGGTCATTTGTTTTTGAAGCAGAAATAACTTTATATATGTTGTAAAGATATACGATAAGTATAATAATAGGAAAATAAACTGTTAGTAAAACATTAAAATAGTTGTGTGCTTAATGATGACATAAGATATCAAAAAAGAAAAACTACAGATACCAAATTTTTTTTTAAATAATTAACCTAGGTTGATGTCAGTAAGTGCATCATCTGGTGCAACAGACTGGATAGTCTGATCAGTAGTATTAGTAACAGTTGGGGGTTGGCTATAGGTAAAATTGGGACCGTGTGTTTGTGAAGGTGCAAATTGAATTTGAAATAAAATATTTTCAATTTCTTTTCGTGCCACAGCTTGTTGATATTCGCTCATTTTCCGCATTTTACCAGCTATTGACATGGCAAAATAGTGTAAGTCATCATTAGGCTCCATCTGTGACATGCTATAAAGTTCAGAGTTAACAGATGCCAACTCTTTAAGCAGCAATGCATTTTCTCTCTCAACATTACTGCGTTTTCTTTTGCTTGATCTCTTTGGTGTGAAGGTGGAATTACAGGTGGAATTACAAGCAGAGACACTGGATGTTTCTTCCTGGTCCTCCATATCATCCGTTTCAGCAATATATGGTGAACTTGTTTGATCACTTGCATGGCTGCATGGTGATGAAACTCGAGACTCAATTTCAGGTAAATTGGAAAATGAACTGCTCCTGAGAACGCAAATTTACTCGTGAGATAAATAAATATTTTATGGCGACGAAAGAAATTATGGAAGGCAAAAGAGAATATGTATCTGACTTACGTATTTTGTTTTGTGACATCATGTAACCATTGGAAACACTTCCACCATTTCCACACTGGCTCCTCTACTGCTGGAGCACCACTTGCAAGCTTTGCCTCATATGACCGTCTTTGCTGGTGAAACGTATCACGAAGGTTAGCCCACTTTTTCTTCACATCTTCATCTTTTAAAAAGATGGAAAACTAAACAAACATGATTCTATTAATCATTCGAATCCCGTTAAGTCACCTGAAATTTTCAGGTTCATGAGACAATTGCTTAAATTGCCCAGCAAAGTGCGAAGATCATATCTTCATTTAATTTCAAACACCGCACTGCATATAACATTCAATCATAACAAAATATTTAAAACTTTACCTGAATGATCAATATTGGTTGCAACTTTCATTTCTCGAGCAACATCCCTTCCAATTATTTTTCTTTATATATTCCGTGTCTTTATAGTCAGGATAAATTTTTCCCACAAACATCGCCTCTCTCCTTCAGCTCAATTAATGTTTCTTGCCAATCCGCCATTTTGCCACAGCACAGTAAAAGCAAACGATTAGTCATGTATAATTTTTTGTCAATCAGGTATATATGCAACAGATTACTCGTCACTCGTTATTGATTTCGGTGTGCATGCTCAGCAACGACAGATTCAGCCCATATCGTCATATTTTCTCGTTGACGAGTGACTCGTCACAGGAATTCGATTACATTTCGACGATAATGTGGCCCCACTTTAAGATGAAATGGTTTGAACCAGGAATATCGTTACATGTTTATAAATGTAGATCGTCAGATTGGTATGAATGAGAAGACTGTTTTGTCGTTGTGACTGACGTTTCGACAACAAAAGCTGAACTTACTAGGCAGGGTAAAATAGCCTCAAAGAATGTTTGTAATGGGATCTTCGCTAAACGTTACGAGGAATCTTGGTGGAGAAATGGAAACATTTTTTTAACGTGTTCATGCCATTATCTATTTCCTATGGGGAAAGGCGATGGGAATTTGATTTCTTGTCCTGGTAATTCTAATCATTTTAACGGTTCAGATGACCCGGTGATGGATTTTGTAGAGAAGTCACAGACGTCGAACAAAGTCATATATAATAGTCCAAATTCGACATGCCTTATGAACTATTGGTGACATTTTTTGATTTGCTTGCATACAAATACAGTTAAATAAGCCCATTCATTGATGAAGGAATAAAAACAGAAACGTCGACAGTCAGAACAGAAACGTGCGATTCAATAAAAGCTTTGAAATGGGTTTTGAACACGAAGATCATTGAAACTAAATTTTAAATGGTCCACTAATAATAGTAATACAGATTCAGTAAAGCTTGTAAAAATGGAAGCCATGCATGCATAAGTTGATAACTGATTGAAATATAACGCACCCAATTTTCCTCTTATTCCATCTGAGCTGAAAATTGATGCTGATCAGTGGAATGATTTTCGTCATTGGACGATGTTCTCTACCAAGAAAATGTCAGTTATGAACTCGAAATATATGGAAATTTCTAACCTAAAAGAAGTGAGAGATACCTCAACTTTAAACAAAATTTCGACTTGTCAGCAGCCAATACTTTTCGTCCTGCTATAAACACTATCCACAAAAGCACTGCAATATTCACGACGTTACACATTGTGAAGTAAAAATAAGAAACATTGAGATCTTATACTAAAATTATTTGTATTTTTGCAAGAAAATGCATGCATATAACTACATAGTTTGCATAAAATGTAAAACAGGAAAATGATGTAAAGGAAGACTCAGAGAGTGATGGCTCAGAAAGTTTTGATAAATAGAATAAAAAATTCATCGAACAAAGCATAAGAAGCATTAGGTTATTTAAATAAAAGTAAATATGCTCATTGGCAATCGTCAAGCTTTTCTTGGAAAGATGAAATGAATGTTTACTGTTAAAGCTAAAACGTATTGCTTGCATACTTACTTTACGTGTATTGTTCCTGAAAAAAGTCCTAACATTCTCATCACTATTCAAACGGAGCTCGCTGCTTGCTCTCTCTGCACTGAGAGGGCAAAGTCGTTTTCTAATTTTGTGATGAAAAATACTGGAGAGAAAATTCGAGTCTTTGCAAATTTAACTACCTGTCGTCTAAGCTTAAGAAAACTTTTTTGCTGAGGGCAACGAGTTTTAAGTTTTTCCTGATTATAAGTCACTGAGTGAAGTGCAATACTGAGATCCTTATTCTCAATTTCTGCACGGTATTCGTACGATAATATTTACTGAGTGTGCGTCTGCAAAACATTTGAGAACAGGCTAATGTCAATCATTGAACTCAGAAACGGAAGGCTGTTTTCAAAAACGTTTTGATGAATTGTGGAAAAACGTACTCGTTAAATAAAATGTGAGGAACATGAAGTCGTTTAAATAAAATAAAGGAAATATGTTTACTGCAATCATCACAGAGCTTATTTCCATGAAATAAATGTTTACTACTGAATGAAAACTTACTGCTTGCATTCTAACTTTACGTGGATTTTCTTCAGGGAGTCCTGCCACTATCGTCGGTACTTAAAGAGCTCACTGCTTGCACTGGAGGCTGCACATTGGTCTTTTTCTTCGTGATGGAAGACGAGTAAAAAGATCTGTTGGCAACAAATAAAGAGCAAAGCATAAGTGCTCCTAGTCATTCAAATCGATCGATTCATTAGATGTTGCCCTCCATCGCTTATTGTAATTAAATGTACGTATTTTTTCAAAGATAAAGCAGTGAAAAAGGCAAAATAACCTCAAAGAATATTTGTAATGGGATCTCGGTTAACTTTTTTTTGCATTCATGCCATCATCTATTCGATACGGAAGAGAGAGATGGGAATTTGATGTTTTGTCGTGGTAACACTTATCATTTTTAACGGGTCAAATTACCAACTGATGAACTTCGAAAAAGTCCCCAACGTTGATCAAAGTCATATATAATACTCAAATTCAACATGCCTTAGGAAAATTAAGTGAATTTTTTGTTTTGTTTCTATGCAAATACATGCAGTTAAATGAACACATTCATTGATGAAGATTAAAATAGAAGCTATATGATATATGTTGTTAACATTCATTTCTGAAGGAAGATTGTCTGGAAAAGTATTGGAAAAACACATGTTGTCCTCATAACTATTTTGTTGAAATTTCTCAGTTCCATTAAGTTGGTTTAAATGGAGTTTTGTAAACGAACACAATTGAACTTAAATCTCAAATGGTCGTTTAATAATGACAGATGCTACTTCCTTCATTCAGTGTGGTGGCCATGCCCGCATAAATTGACAATCAATTAAAATATAGCACACCCCTTTTTTCTCCTTTCCATCTGAGCTGAGAATTGATCTTAATCAGTGGGATGAAATGCGTGATTGGAAACGATGTACTCCACCAGGAAAATTTCAGTTTTGAACTTGAAATATATAAAATTTACAGTTATATATATATATCATTGATGTAACGGGGACAAGTGTAGGCTTCACGTGCCGTCCCTCATTTCGACTGATTGCCACAACACGCACCAACACTTCCAACTTCCGAGTTTGGATCGCCCTGGCGAGAAAAAGATATGATGATGATGATGATTGACGTAAAAATCCTAAAGTGGAAGTAACAAATGAAGTATCGAATAATCGTTTTCTAATGAAAGTTCCATATTTTTGAACTCAGTAGGCCGTTTAGAAAAACTTGCATTCACTTTTAACGGAATAAAACGTAATTAAATTTTTATTGACGTTCATCGATTGCCTTTTAAACAACGAAAGGTTATGTATGACAACAAAGCCGGAGGGAATTCAACAAAGTGAAACTTAAAATCAAACGTTTGATAGACTTAGCTTTTCAGGTGCCACGCGACATTAGAGATATCTTCTTATAAACATTTTAAGTTATTGGAAAAAGGTCTACATTTAAAACAACTACATAATTGAAAGAAGAATATAAATCGCTGGAAAGTGAAAGATTTGTCATAGACGCATCAGACCATTAAATGGTGATAAGATTTTGTAATATGTTTTGGTATTTTCAGACAGCAGGCTGGATTTTTTAAACTCGATTTGATAACATGACAAAAATAATACACAGTTTAACTAACCTGGATGAATTGTAAATTTCCGTAATGAACTTTGAACTTAAATGAACTTTCACTTCAAATCCACTTTCTCGTCAAACCCTTTCACTTTGTCATGGTTTTAAGAAAATGATGTTTCAATAATCTAAAGACCTTTCTTCAGTTCAATTAATATTCATGCCAACAACAATGCAATTTTGTAAAAATAAAAGAAAGTGAAACAGAGAATTTGATGTCATATTCCGTGTTCTTTTGTATACTGATACAGCTACTTCACAGCTGTTGACCATTCTTTCCAACGTGTGATTACGCTGTTAAAAAAACGAGACAAAAACAATTAAAAAAGTTTGACAATTGTGCAGAATTTAAGTTGTCAAAAGTGAAACTCAAGACATCATTATTACTATAACAATTAAGACACCTTGACATTTAAATATAGTTTCTATCAATTTACTGAGAATACTCAAATAAAACAGTCTTTGTTTAAAACTCGGAAATAATGTAATTAGAATCTTTAATATTATTACTTAGCTATTACATTCATCAACTGCTGGACAAAGAACATTCATCTGCCTCGATTTCAAAATTGTTTGGTAGTTTAACTTTTCTTTATTCCAACAATTTTGTTGTGCTTCAAACGTGATATGGTAATCAGCAATTCATTTAATTTACGTCGATAAATGTATCTTCTTTCAAATAATGTTTTATACGACGTGAACCAATAAAAGCGTAAAAATACCTTTATGTCGTCGAAGAATGCACAGCCTCTGGTTAAAGTTTACTTGAGATAATTTGAACATGCTCCTGACCATATTAAGTTGGATGACAATTCTTAGATATTTCGAACTTTTCACAAGGTAAATATCCTTGTAATAAATATCTAGAGGGATACATTTTATATTTGATTCTTAAAGCGGAGGATGAATCTAAAGGAAGTCAAAACATTACAAGCGACTTATCGTACATCAATACACAATTTATAAGTAGTTTTAAAAAGAACATTTAGACTAAAATATTACAATAGGATGTACTGTAGGGAGTTTTGAATTGGAAATATATTTACAGCAATGTTTTCTTACCTACCCTGCATCTACTAATGGTTCAAAAATGGTTCATTTCATTAAGCCAGTTTGCAAAATGAAATATATTCTTTTAACATGCATTGGATCTAGACCAGTGCATCAGGCATTGAATTTTGTGGTTAAATCAGAATGAGCTTTGCATTCTTGCGAACTATATCAGGAATTAACTCGTTTATATTAGATACTTATAAACTTCTTCGCATTCCATTCTTTTGAGTAATACTTACACAAAAACTCACATTTTGG